TAGCCACCCTACCGGGCTGTCCGCGCCCGACGAGGCTCGGTGGGCGGCCAGAGGCAGGCGCCGGGTCTTCCTCGCAGGCCAGGAGTCATCCTGAAGCCGAGCAGAGACCTTCACGCTGGCGATCCATACTGTAAAACCCTCCCGGAGTCCGGCTACGGGGGGGAAGATGTTCTTCCCGCCTCAACTGGGAGCCTTCAACGCGCCAGGGCCTGTCTCAGTTTGATGCCCGAGGGCAGCTCAAGCCCCGTGCCAAGGGAAGCGCGTCCGATCCACAACTGTTGCTCCCCTCGCTTCGGCAGTGCGCGCCGGGGAGCGGGCTCGAGGCGTTGCCTCGGAAAATAGCCTCCCCCGGAGCTTTCAGAGCCTGCGTGGTGTTGCCCGAGAGGTCCCCGAGGGCTGTGGCGGGAGGTCTTGCAGAGGAAGAGCGCGACAGATATGTAGGGCGGGAGCTGAGGGCTGTGTCGCTGCAGCGGGTAGGAGGGCTCCGCGCTCCCTCATCCCAGGCCGATGGTGACCGATCGGACGGAGGGATGGGTCCGCAGGTGTGCGGGACGGGGCTTGGGGAGGGAGGGCGCGTGCTGGGTACAATATGTGCCACCGCACGTCCTAACCGTCCGCGTCCCGCTCGCCTCTGAACGGCGGGCGCCGGCTCGCTCTGCCCCCTGGGGAACCGCTGACCCCCTTTTCCTCCGGTTCTGCCTCGCAGGCACCCCGACAAAAACAAGGACCCAGGAGCCGAAGACAAATTCATCCAGATTAGCAAGGCCTACGAGGTAACACGCTCTTCTTGCTATACTCCTGCTGTCGCTAAGTTAAGTGACCTCATTTTTCCGTACGGGGCTTGGGCTTGTTCTGTGTACGTCTACACGCTCCCGAGTGGACAAGCGTGGTCTTTCTTCCTCGACGGGGAGCCGCTGGCTGTCACCAGTGTGGCCTCTCTCGCAAGTATTTGGCCACCAGTCTGCCCTGTTCTCGCTATGAAGCCTCAGACGAGGGCAGAGAGGGTATTCGCCGAGCCCCACGCAGCTGGGTGGCCATCTTGTTTGTGTCACACGTACCTAGAAGTATTTTGGGGGTGATGTAAGCGACGTTAGTCACCGCAGGGCTTCAGTCACTTCGGATTATTCTTTGCATAAGTAGTTATTTGTGCAGCGCTCTCGCAGGCGGCTGCCCTGACACTTCCACGGCAAGCGAGCCGGGCCTGCGGAAGTGAAAGCAAATCCCCGTCTCTTCACACCACTTCTCCCCGGGGCTTCCAGCCGCTCGGTAAAACTCTGGGCACCGAGAAAACCCTCAGTGTTCAAGCTGAGGCCAGCAAAAGCCTCCCCGGCCGAGAGCGTTAACACTCGGAGGGGTCAGGCTCAAGGGGCGGTCGGTGTCAGAAGGGGTACAGCAGTCTGGATTTACAGGCTCCTTTTCCTGGGGCTTTGGCTTTTTATTTTTTTACCCTTATTTCCCACAGCGAGCCTGGAGGCGCGGCGGGTTAGTTCCCTTTTCCAGAATATTGTTCCCTCCGAGGTGCAGCAGAGGCCGCATGTTCCCTCGTAGCTTTTTTGCTGCCGTTGGTCACCCAGGGGCTGGCGTCGGGGGCGGTTCCCCCTCGCGGTTTCAGGTGCCTGTTCTTCTGTCATCCCTTCTGTCACCCGCTTCCCAGATTCTCTCCAGCGAGGAAAAGAGGGCACACTTTGATCGCTACGGAGACGCCGGGGAAAGCCAGGGCTACTCTCAGCACCAGCATCGCCAGTTCCACCACTTCCACGAAGGCTTCTATTTTGACGAGTCCTTCTTCCACTTCCCTTTTAATTCGGAGAGGCGCGACACCTCTGATGAGAAGTATTTGCTCCATTTCTCCCACTATGTCAACGAAATCGTGCCAGATAGTTTCAAGAAACCTTACCTCATTAAAATAACCTCCGACTGGTGCTTCAGCTGCATCCACATCGAGCCTGTGTGGAAGGAAGTCGCTCAGGAATTGGAGGCGCTGGGTAAGGATGAGGCCGTTGAGGCTGGGCGCGTGGCCGCGGCGATCGCCTTCAGAGGACCGAGTTTAATCCATAGATTGCCTCGGGGATCGAGCCTAATGCTTTCTCCTGCCTTACTAACATCCTAATTGACAAGGTTATATGTTAGAAATGAGGAAAAAAATGAGTCCCGTAGATCAGGAGGGCAAGACGCCGCTAGCGGCTTAGCCCGACGCCGATGGTCGTAAGCGATGGCGTGGCCGGGGGCCGGTCGCACTGCCATGAATTTAGGCCACCAGCCTAAAGGCCGCATTTCTCTTTGTCCTGCACCGCCACGGCTTTGATATGCAAAGACCCCTGCAAAGTATGTCCTCGACTTCAGGGCTGCCGTACGGTGAAGTTCTGAGAATTACTCAACGCATTTGGATGCCAAGGAGGGATTTTGCACTTGCCCCTCCGCCCCCAGCTCCCTCGTTTTCCCCTCAGACGTTGTCTGCACGCGCTCCTGTAAAATCACGTAGCCGCCCCAAAGACAGGGCAGTGTGTAGGTTTTTCTCCATGAGGTTTTAATGAAGTACCGGCAGACAGAACAAGAGCGGCTCGCTCTCTCCCTAGCCAGAGCTGCGAGTTTTAATTACAAGTTTCAAGGATTGCAAGAAGAGGCAATTACAGAGTTAGGAGGGACAGTCCCGTGAATAACTCCCGAGCGGGGCACGGGGCAAGGGAACAGGTCTTCAGCCTCCGTTTTCTACTCTGCGTCTCGGGTCATCAGCGAGCGCTCGCGCGAACCCGCTCTCCTTTTCCAGGCGTGGGCATCGGAGTCGTTCACGCCGGGTACGAGAGGCGCCTCGCCCACCACCTAGGCGCACACAGCACGCCGTCCCTGCTGGGGCTCCTGAACGGCAAGATAACCTTCTTCCACAACGCCGTCGTTCGAGAAAACCTGCGGCAGTTCGTGGAGAACCTTCTGCCGGGGAATCTCGTAGAAAAGGTACGCCACGCGCCACTTGTCGTGTCCGGCTGCACAGTCATCTCTCCTGAGCTGTTTGGTGGCTGCTCTGTGTCACACACGTGGGAAGGCCCGACTGGGGCTGGTGACATGAGGCGTTCTGAGAGCTGCTGTTACAGCTACGAACCCCGGAGGTGTCGGAAGCCGTCAGGCGACGCGGCTCTGTCACGCTGCTCCTCACGAAAGGGCCAAATCCCGCGACTACGCGGTTACGCCGGCGCCTTCACGTGCCTCACTCTGCCGGCTGTAACGCCCCGCGGCTGCCAGAGCCGTGCGACAGCTACCCCTAGGTTAGGAAGCTGCGATCGGGCTCAACCTGCCTGCTGGATTTCGCTTCCCTTCTCCTTTTTGGGAGTTTCATCTGGCAAATTAAGCTCGCCAACTTGTAGGCATCGGCTGCTAAAACTCCCCCATGCAGAGACTCATTCATTTCATCCGGTTTCAATGCAGCCCTCCGAAACTGGAGGAGGCAGCATGAGCCCTTTCGAAGCTGTAGGTAAAACTTCCCGCTAGATAGAAAATTCCTGCCTTTCGGCCTCGCTCACTTGTTTTGGGCAGAGTCCCAAAGCACCCGCCCCCCGCTTTCGGCGCGATGGGGCCGGGTCAGCCCCCATAGCGCTCGTGCCTGCCAGTCCTCGGCCCACAGCCTTGCTCGCCTCCCCTCGTTTTCCCCTGGGGGCTTCAGCGAGGGCTGCCCTTCCCCACGGACTCTTACCTGGCTGTTCTCCAGGTATTGGAGTTCTTACCCCCACGGCAGGGTCTGCTGCCCCTTCCCGTGGTTTAAGCAGCCATTTCACCTCCCGCGCCCTGGAGTTCCTCAGAAACAGAGCTGGGTCAGCTCTTCTCCCTGGGGGCCCCCAAACCAGCTGCCATCTCCCTTTTATCGCCTTCCTCTAGGTCAAAGAGGCACCACTGCTGAAACAGAGCAGGTTTGATGGAGCTCGGCAGGGGAGGGGGGGGTGGGGTGGGGGAGCTGTTAACCCTTGGCTTCCCACTCTACGCATACGACCCCCAGGAACAGTTATGAGGATGAAAGCGGCATCAGCATTGACTTGGCTCAGCATGGACAGAGGGTGCAGTAGCCAGGAGGGCTGGTGCGGGGGCAAGCCGGACGGTTTTAATTAATTTCCCGTATCAGCAAAGCACGGATCAAACCCGCAGTCTGCTTTCTCGAACACCTGGACAGCGTTTCCCAGCTCGGTTCCCATTCGGGCGCCTCAGCGCAGAGCTTTGCGTGCGTCTAACGGCTCAGGGGTTACGCTGATGTCTGATTCTCTTTAAAGATTACAGATAAAAACTACATCCGCTTCCTCTCCAACTGGAAGAAAGAAAACAAGCCCCACGTCCTTCTATTTGATCACATGCCAGCTGTGCCGTTATTATACAAGGTAAGGCCATTTCTGTCGCTGCATTGTTGACTTCCTAATAAACCCAGCGGCTCCAAAAGAAAACGCGGTGCTGCCGCCAGCAGAGGCGGAGCGACGCCTCGAAACACTATCGACCCGTTCCAGGGGAGAGCAGGTTGATCCGTGCCGGTTGCGAGCGGCACGGCCTGATGACCGCTGTCGTTGGGAGTTTGTTTCTCTGCCCTGCCACGGGCGTACCCGCAGTGGATGCGAAGGTGCGGGTGGGTTTCCGGGGTGGCACGTGCTAGCCTTTATCGGCGACGAGAGATTTTTTGCGGTACATCCGCTTTGGGTTAGTGGAAAGCCCGTTTCCTAACAGATCCCTGCTGCCCTGCAAAACGGCGGGTGGTCAAGTAAAGCTGCGGCTCCCTTGAGGCTCCCCGGACCTGAGTAAGAGGAGGCAAACTGCAGTTCAGCCAGGGAGAGGAAGGGCTTTTACCTCTAGCAGCGCGTGCCCAGTGACATTGAAGCGGCGGGAGGTGTTCTCGAAGCAAAGGCACCACCGGTGCTCGGGGGGAGGAAAACGCCAGTCACTCTCTAATGAAAACACGCGCCGGTGCTCTCTTCCCGTCCAGCTGACGGCCTTCGCGTACCGCGATTACTTGTCCTTTGGCTACGTGTACGTGGGACTCCGGGGCACCGAAGAGTTGTCCAGCCAGTACAACATCAACGTCTACACGCCCACCATGATGATCTTCAAGGAGCACATCGACAAGCCCGCCGACGTCGTGCAGGTACGGCGCAGAGCCCCCTCCGAGAGCTTACACGAAACGACGCTGAGGTTGTCGGACCCGCCTTGTGACGAGGGGTGGGTGGGTGGCACGTTTCGGAGTACGGAGCGTTCAGTCTCCGTGTAAACTCGGGCTTTGGCAGAGGCACAGAGCGACCATCAGGAGGGAGGAAGCTCAGCAGGCTCCAACTACTGGGTCTGGCCTCTTGAGGCGGGTGGCTGCAGGTAGCTCCTCAGTCTCAGGTGATTTCCACGAGGACCGTGACAGCCGGCAGCCTTGCCCAGGCTTCCGATGAGCACGTCACGACAGCTTGACTCTCCTCGCCCTGCTCCATTCTGACCTCTGCTTTCTTTGTCCTCGCCAGGCACGAGATATGAAGAAGCAGCTCATTGACGACTTCCTTTCCCAGAATAAGTTCCTCATGGTGGCCAGGCTCACCAACCAGAGGCTGTTCCAGGAGCTGTGTCCTGTGAAGAAGTCTCACCGTCAGCGAAAGTAAGGCTCTGCGGGTGACCCGTGTCGTGTGTCCCCCCCACACACTTTGTTTCCCACGGCTCTGGGGCTGCTCCTAAAGCTGCCTTGTGTTCGATTCGGCGGGAGAAGGGAAACGGCCGCATGGGATCGTGCTGGGTATCTGCATTGTTTGAGAGTTTCCCCGCCTTTCCTAGGCATGTCCGGGGAAGCGGGGAGGAACAGGGTGATAGGCTGGAGAGCTGCGTACGTGGCAGGCAGGAGCAGCTAGTGGAAAGGAGACAGTTGTTCCCTCTTGCGTCCAAAACGGCTCCTAATCCTCCGTCTCGTTGTGTTGCCTAGGCACTGTGTGGTCTTACTTACCGGAGAAGGCGATAAGTTTGCTAAGGCTTACGAGGCATTTTTGACTTTTGCTGCGGCCAACACAAAAGACACCCTGAAGTTCGTGCACGTCTATACCGATCGGCAGCCGGAGTTTGCGGACGCCTTGCTGATGGATGAGGAGAAGTATCGAGGAAAATCAGCTGTGAGCGGTTCCTTTTTTTTCTTTTTTTCCCCTCCCCTTTCTTCTTTTCATCTGTCGTCGTAACTCGCATCACATTACACAGGATGCTGTACCTTGATCTGACACCTAAGGCTGGGCAGCGATTTGCAGCCTAACACCCGTCCGGTGCGAAGCACCTTCCTCTCTGACATCTGCGATGTCATTGCCTCGTCCAGGTGGTCATTCTGGAGAGACGCAATAACGCAGGGAAGATCGCCTATAAAACCTTGGAGGAGGCCTGGCAAGGCAGCAAAGAGGACAACTTCATCCTCCTGGATCTTCTGGACCAGCTGAGGACTGACCCCGGCCTCCTCTCTTCCGAGACCGTCCTGGAGGACTTGAATGACGAACTCGCTCCCGTAAGTGCCTCACGCCTTTCCAGCTGCCCTACAACCGTGTGACCTTTCTGGACAGGCCTATTATGGTCATTCACGGGCACTATTTAGATTTTAAAATACCAGGGCGAGACTCTTACAAGTTTCCTCGCTCGCGGAAGGAAGCTCGGGGCCTGCCCTGAAGCTGATTCAGCCCAGGGTTCTGTTTAAGGGGTGGGAGTCCCATCGGGGCTCTGGATAGTGGGCTGGTCATTTGCTTTGTTCTTTCCAAGCAGATGTTCCTTCTCCGATGGCTCTACTCCACGCTGGACTATGTCTCGGACTGCTGGGACAGTTTGTTTCACAGTAACTGGTACGGATTGGGTGTTAACGAGTCTCGCTCTAAGGGAGCGCGATTGCTGTTACCGGGTTCAGACGCATTGTAGAACCAGGCTCTTATTACCAGGAATTGAGACCGTATCAAAACACAGAGG